AGCTTTGGGGTGAACACTATTGGACTTGATCACTTCCTATCAGATTCCTTTCTGACCTAAAGGTTTGGTTTTTCTGTACCTCTTCTGAAATTGCTTTTCTTTGAGCTTAAGGTACTCAAGAAGGTCTTAGTTTTACTTCCATATGAGACTCAGTTACAATGTCTGGGTAAATTAGGTTTGTTTAACCAGGTAATTCTGAAATCACCTATTTTTCCAATAGAAATTTGTCACCTCCTGAATCTGAGTTGTAGGCAGGGTCTATTACATCCTCACCTTTGGTATACTTTTTAGTGGTGATACTTTGTGGTCACTTTTTGCTGAAAGAACCTCATGATCCTTTCAAGGTTTTATTAGTTTAACATAGCATGTTTGGAAGGGTTTTCAAATTCCTTGCTGGCATACCTGGACGTTTTTCATTTCTGATTTTATCTGTGGTCTCATGGGGCCCTGGAAATTTGCCAGAAATGTACTCTCTAAAGTAAGCACCCAAAACTAAGACTCCTGAGTTAAATATTCAGTTTATAAACTCCAGCCTGTGCCTTTTTGGATTTCTACATATTTTTCTTAACTATAGACATGGGCATGGCCATACTTGGGCAATAATGTTATTACTATCCCCGCCTCTTCTCTTATATTGCTGATGACAGTTTGGGGAGCTGTCCTTCAGTAAGTAGTGTTTTCAGTTAGGGTTGTTGGGCATCATATTTACACATTTTTGTGAATGCGTAGGGGTGTTGTATGTGGATACCCCCTTATGGTTAAAGGGGGCTTTCAGATTCCAAAAAGCCCTCAGTCCACAGACCCCATACAACCACTGGGCCAGAGTTCTGGGAAAGGGGCCCATGTCTTTATCAACATGGGAACAAGATGCTTTGTCAAGTGGTCTCCCTTGGCAAAGTACACTCCCATGTTGAGGGCATGGTAGCCTGGTATAGTTCAGGAGGCACAGTTGCCCCCACTCTCCTGGCCAGCCAGGCTGTTTGGATTAAGGGTCTGATATGGATTTTAAGGGGACCTCATTTTTTTTAAATTGGGTACCCCCTTGAAATCCATACTAGACTCAAAGGATCACACATGGTATTATCTTGCTGTAGGATGTGCTACATCAAAAGTCTAATTTGAAAAAAAAATTATACAGTTTAAATTGCCAGCAAATAACATGTCATCACCAGCTGAAATAAAAAATGCACAGATCCCTCCAAAGAGGGACCATTGGGATCTGTGCAGTGAAATGTAATTTAAAACACATTTTCCTTTGTAAATGTCATTGCTTTTAGCTTTTAAAAAGCACTGCTCCCAGCGGAACAGAATTTTTCTTTCTTTCTTTTTTGCATTGGTACATGTTTCCCAGGACAGTGCCCACCCTAATGCTATTTTTTGCCTATTAGCTCAGAAAATGGGCATTTTTTATTTGAGAGATTTGTCTCCAATTTATTTACTTGGGATTTTTGGTTTGAAGTTGTTTTAAAGTTTGCCAAACCCTGCTTGAAATAAAACTAGTTCATCTGCTTTTTTTCTGCAGTTCGGCTTATCTGCAGAAAAAAAATGGGGCAGACTTGATGGACTGTCTTTTTCTGCCATCAGTCTTCTATATTTATATCACTAATTAGGAATAACTGTACATAAAAACATGCAGAAGTCAAGATCAGAGATCATTTATGGATTGAAAATGAATGTATATTATGTTTTCTACAGTACTAATTTTCTATCTCCTCAAATATACAGTCCTGAAGAAGCTAAGCACAAAACATGTTGACCGTTAAAATGGATAAAATATGAACATGTTATAGATATTTATGCTAATTGTATGTATATGAGGAGGTTATAACTGTTTTGGGAGTATCCCCATATGTACTTTTTAATTCAGGCATATATTTCTGATATGTGCCCAATTTTATTATGTTTGAATAAAATACATACAATTTTTATTACAATGTGTGGTGTCATGTGGTGCCTATAAAGTCTGTCTTATACCTTCTAAAATATTTTTAGAGGTTTTCTTGGTTCTATATGGTAAATTTGGATGTGGCACATTGAAAGCTTTTATGGTTTATACAGGTGAAACTTGATAAATTAGAATATCGTGCAAAAGGTAATTTATTTCAGTAATGCAACTTAAAAGGTGAAACGAATATATGAGATAGACTCATTACATGCAAAACAAGATAGTTCAAGCCGTGATTTGTCATAATTGTGATGACTATGGCTTACAGCTCATGAAAACCCCAAATCCACAATCTCAGAAAATTAGAATATTACACGCAATCAATAAAACAAGGATTGTACATAGAACAATATCGGACCTCTGAAAAGTATAAGCATACATATGTACTCAGTATTTGGTTTGGTCCCCTTTTGCAGCAATTACTGCCTCAATGTGGCGTGCCATGGAAGCTATCAGCCTGTGGCACTGCTGAGGTGTTATGGAAGACCAGGATGCTTCAATAGGGGCCTTCAGCTCTTCTGCGTTGTTCGGGTCTCATGTCTTTCATCTTTCTCTTGGCAATGCCCCATAGATTCTCTATGGGGTTCAGGTCAGGCGAGTTTGCTGGCCAATCAAGCACAGTAATCCCATGGTCATTGAACCAGGTTTGGGTGCTTTTGGCAGTGTGGGCAGGTGCCAAGTCCTGCTGCAAAATGAAGTCAGCATCCCCATAAAGCTCGTCTGCGGAAGATGACACCAAGCTGTGCAGTGGAATAATGTCCTTACAGGATGTCTTCAATTTACAAGCTGATCTCTTGTATTAAAAGAGGTATAGACTCCAGAGAGAGATATATAATTTTACCCCTGTACAAATCATTAGTAATACCTCACCTGGAATATGCAGTTCAGTGTCGTGCACCAATTCACAAAAAGAACATTGGGGAACTGGAGAAAGTACAGAGAAGGGCAACCAAACTGATAAGAGGCATGGAGGAGCTCAACTATGAGGAAAGATTAGAGGAACTGAATGTATTCTCTCTTGAGAAGAGGAGATTAAGGGGCGATATGATCAACATTTATAAATACATCAGTGGTTCATATAGTGAACTCGGTGTAGAGCTATTCACCCTGAGGTCATCACAGAGAACAAGGGGGCACTCTTTACGTCTGGATGAAAAGAAATTTGATCTCCAAACATGGAAAGGTTTCTTCTCAGTGAGAGCTTGAAAATGTGGAATAGACTCCCTCAAGAGTTAGTTCTGGCCAGCTCAGTAGATTGCTTTAAAAAAGGGCTGTATTCTTTCTTGGATACACAGAATATAACTGGATACTAACATTTATAGGTACAATTAATCCAGGGAATATCCAATTGCCTCTCGGGGGATCAGCAAGGAATTTGTTTTCCTACAGGTGCAAATTGGATCATGCTTTGCTGGGTTTTGTTTGCCTTCCTCTGGATCAACTGTTGATATAGGATTATAACTTTTTTTTAATGGTTGAACTGGACAGACTTTTGTCTTTTTTCAGCCAGACTAACTATGTAACTATAAATGTAAATAAGTAGCCAAGTAACAGGTTAATCATGCAAAAAATAACAAAATGGTATAACATGGATCTCAAAAACCAGGGAGCTCCATTATGAAGCAATCATAGTAGAAAAACATAAGAGGCTACCTACTGAAGGTCTGGCGAAATATGTTCAGGGAAACATTCTGAAAGATATTCCATCCTGCAGATTTCAGCTATAGTAGACAAGAGTTTTGAATGTTTGGGAGGAGAAACTGAAAGCCAGTAGGATGGTAAAGCTCTTTTGGCTGCTAACAGAACAAAAGTCATCAGTCGCCTATCAGGTTTAGAGATACCTGGATAGGGTAAATTCAACAGGTAACACATAGGATTTAAAGGAATTACTATATCCAGTACATTTTGCAGGAGAGACCTGCACATAGACCCAGAAAGATTTGATAACAGGGCATTCCCAGAAAAGATGAAAATGGGTACCTATAGAGTTATGACATTTGCCTGGAGTCTGCCGGATTGCAGGCATGTAGGATATCAGGAGTTTTGTACCAAAACATAGGGATTTTATAGGCAGTCTCTCTCTGTGCCACACACACCTTGGAAGTAGCTTCCAAAATTTTAGACCACTGTGAGATGGGTATAGTTTGATTTAAAATGTGCACCCATTTACTCATATAAACATGACAATTCTGATAAATGGGGATACCCTCATGGATAATTTTATATATAACAGAAATCAAGTGCGGCTTATAAAGGCCTCTATCACATAATTTTTGAAAGGCTAAGATTGACAATACTCTTCAACTTCTTTGTAAATACTGGGTCAGAAAAAAACATTGCTAAATCCCACTCTTTTGTTTTTTTCTACTTCTAAATGAGCACCCAACACAAGAAATTAGGCACAATCTAACACCATCCTTGTGTTGGACTGAAAAACCAGCAGTTGCTTCACAACTTCTTCCTGTTACTCCTTTGCATGATTCTCCTTTGCTTGATACAGTAAGTTATGGTATGCTGTAAAATGGTTGTATACAAGGCTGGTTCTTGAGAACATTTCTTCATGCATTGCCAAATTGGGATCCTACAACTGTAAGGCCTCAGAATCTTACTTTACTACCAGTATATCTGTTATTTATGGCACAGGGGCAGTTTCCTCTGACTCACCAATTATGACCGCAAGTGGGAAGTTGTCAGGTACCTCTGACATAGTGGTAACAACTTTTTGCTCACATTCAGGAAAAATAGTAACATTGTTTACTTCAGGAATGCTTTCAGGACTGGTTACCTGTATTTTTCCTCCACAGTTCCCAAAACAAAGAAAAACACAGTGTAGCAAGTTGTGAACCACATCCACATCATGCTTTACAATCCCACTATGTGTCTCTGCCAAGGGCATAAAATGGGAGCGTCTTTAGTATCACTACTAGAGATGAGCGAATTATTCAAAAATTCGATTCGGCTGATTCGCCGAATTTGTGGAATAAATTCGATTCGATGCGAATTTATTCGCTGCGAATTTAACTTATAAAAAGGGTTTCTAGGCTTCAGAGAGCCTTTATATTAGTGCAGAACACTGTACCTTTAATTTAAATGCCCTTGGAGCCTGCTGGGGAAGAGAAATAATACTGTCAGTCAGTATGACATGCAGATGAGTGCCGTCGATCTTAGAATCACCGCACACTTCACTCATTTGGGCAGTCACGGGGCCAAAACCAGAGTGTGGAGCCACAGTGTGGCGGTGGAGGCAGCAGCAATGGGAGGCCATACAGCACCCTATGACAAAATGGAACCCACCAGCAGTGTGAGGAGACCTGAAAGTGGCACATGGCAGAGTGTGGCGATGGAGACAGCAGCAATGGGAGGCCGTACAGGGACCCATGAGAGACTCTGGACCTGGCAGCAGCATGAGGAGGCGGTACAGGGGCCCATGGCAGATTACGGGCCTGGCAGCAGCAATGGGAGGCCCGTAATCTGCCAGCACCCTATGACAAAAAATGGAACACAACAGCAGTGTGAGGAGACCTGAAAGTGGCACATGGCATGAGACACTGTGGACCTGGCAGCAGCATGAGGAGGCGGTACAGGGGCCCATGGCAGATTAGGGGCCTGGCAGCAGCTATGGGAGGCCAGTAATCTGCCAGCACCCTATGACAAAAAATGGAACACACCAGCAGTGTGTGAGGAGACCTGAAAGTGGCACATGGCAGAGTGTGGCGATGGAGACAGCAGCAATGGGAGGCTGTACAGGGACCCATGACACACTCTGGACCTGGCAGCAGCATGAGGAGGCGGTACAGGGGCCCATGGCAAGAAGAAGAAGAAGAAGAAGAGGATGAGGATGAGGAAGAAGAAGAAGAAGAAGAAGTAGGATGAGGATGAAGAAGAAGAAGAAGAAGAAGTAGGATGAGGATGAAGAAGAAGAAGAAGAAGAAGAAGTAGGATGAGGATGAAGAAGAAGAAGAAGAAGTAGGATGATGAAGAAGAAGAAGAAGAAGTAGGATGAGGATGAAGAAGAAGAAGAAGAAGAAGTAGGATGAGGATGAAGAAGAAGAAGAAGAAGTAGGACGAGGATGAAGAAGAAGAAGAAGAAGTAGGATGAGGATGAAGAAGAAGAAGAATAAGAAGAAGAAGAAGAAGTAGGATGAGGATGAAGAAGAAGAAGAAGAAGAAGTAGGATGAGGATGAAGAAGAAGAGGAAGAAGAAGAAGAAGAAGAAGTAGGATGAGGATGAAGAAGAAGAAGAAGAAGAAGTAGGATGAGGAAGAAGAAGAAGAAGAAGTAGGATGAGGATGAAGAAGAAGAAGAAGTAGGATGAGGATGAAGAAGAAGAAGAAGAAGAAGTAGGATGAGGATGAAGAAGAAGAAGAAGTAGGATGAGGATGAAGATGAAGAAGAGAAGTAGGATGAGGATGAAGAAGAAGAAGAAGTAGGATGAGGATGAAGAAGAAGAAGAAGAAGAAGAAGAAGAAGTAGGATGAGGATGAAGAAGAAGAAGAAGTAGGATGAGGATGAAGAAGAAGAAGAAGAAGTAGGATGAGGATGAAGAAGAAGAAGTAGAAGATGTAGGATGGATGAAGAAGAAGAAGAAGAAGAAGAAGAAGAAGAAGAAGAAGAAGGATGAGGATGAAGAAGAAGAAGAAGAAGAAGTAGGATGAGGATGAAGAAGAAGAAGAAGAAGTAGTAGGATGAGGATGAAGAAGAAGAAGAAGAAGAAGAAGAAGAAGTAGGATGAGGATGAAGAAGAAGAAGAAGAAATAGGATGAGGATGAGAAGATGAAGAAGAAGTAGGATGAAGAAGAAGAAGAAGTAGGATGAGGATGAAGAAGAAGAAGAAGAAGAAAGAAGAAGAAGTAGGATGAGGATGAAGAAGAAGAAGAAGTAGGATGAGAATGAAGAAGAAGAAGAAGAAGTAGGATGAGGATGAAGAAGAAGAAGAAGAAAGATGAGAGAAGAAGAAGAAGAAGAAGAAGAAGAAGTAGGATGAGGATGAAGAAGAAGAAGAAGAAGAAGTAGGATGAGGATGAAGAAGAATTCCATTCCAGCAAAAAGTGTATCTGCAGAGAGCTCCGCTATTTCTGACAGTTCTCTGACAGTTCCTTCACATTTACAGCGGTTGAAACATTGTATCTATTTGTTTCCGAATAAAAACATCTGTATCCTAAATGGAAACAAATAGATACAATGTTTCAACTGCTGTAAATGTGAAGGAACTGTCAGAGAACTGTCAGAAATAGCGGAGCTCTCTGCAGGGACACTTTTTGCCGGCTGTAGAACGAATGAAAATCGGCGGATCGGGGAAAATTCGATTCGTGCATCCAAAGTTTGCTAATATTCGGATTCGACGCGAATCAAATTTTTCCTAATATTCGAAACGAATTCCACTTCGCCAGGTTCGATTCGCTCATCTCTAATCACTACATATACAAGGTGCCCCATTCAGCCAAGCTGGGCAAGGTTCACCAGATTGGCATGTGTCTAGATAATAAACTTTCAGGAGTATAATAACACCAAGTGTCCTTCTATTGTAACATGACATATTTGCCTTCCATTCTTGGTTCTTAAGTATGCTGTCAGAGCAGCATTAAAAATAGTGATAGACATTTCCCCTGGCTACATTGCCTAGGCTCAGTTTTTTGGCACTGCATGCACCTATTGCGTGCACTTGGATGCCTTCTTTGCAGCATAGTCTTTATTGGAGAGCTAGCCAGCCTCTCCTAAATGTACCACCCTAAATCCTAGATGAAATTCTCCTCTTCAACCAGTAATCTGGAGGTATCCTTGAGCAGGGGATCTGACTCTTGTCTCTTTAAATAGGTAAAAAGTCACAAGTAGGGTGCTAATGTTTACCACCAGAGTGCTCCTTCCCCTATCCGCCCAGGGAGTGTAGGTGTACTCACTCAGATCCTCTCCTGTACCTGCTAACAGACCTATCAGCTGACTGCTCCTTTCCTGACATACAGGTGGTCCTCTCTCAGGGGGCCAGTGAGTTTTGAGCTTTCTACCCTTCCAGGTCCAGGCCTGCAGGTAGGCCCCATTCCACTGGGCCTCCTCACAGCCTCACATCTCCCTTCTCCTCCTTCTTCTACCAGACTCTCCAACTCTCCTGCAACTGAGCAGGCTCCAACACTTTTAAGGGTGTTCAGCCCCCTGCCAGCCTCTTGTTGGGGATTGGCTAGGACCCCTCAAGTGTGCAGCCAGCCACTCCTTGGATCTGCTTGCTGCCCCTAAGACCTTCCTCCAAAAGCCCGAGAGCAGAGGAAAATTCCAGAGTGCCTCTCAGCCCTGACTTATCTGATGCAAAATGACCTCCAAATTTGGCCTAGGCATCAATGATTCAATGACCTTGGCATGTGCACAAAAGTGTTAACAATATATAAAGGAAACTATAGTGGCTTTTGAAAGGGAAGTGATAGTGTTTTTCTTTTTTGAGTAAGCAGATACACTATATTGCCAAAAGTATTGGGACACCCCTCCAAATCAATGGATTCAGGTATTCCAATCACCTCCATGCCCACAGGTGTATAAAATCAAGCACCTAGGCATACAGACTGTCAGAGATGCAGGTGTGACCAGAAGTGTGTGGACTGACACAGGGAAATGCAAGCTTCAGATATGGTATAAATAAGACGCTTTATTAAAGACTAACAATACAAACATAAACGCAGTGAACCAAACCCCAAGCTAACACAAATACATACAACAAGGTGAAACAAACCCAAACCTAAACTGATACAGATACCCAGGTACATACACATGTAGAGCACAACGTAGTTAGGCAGGGCCGGGTCGATAACTATCGGGCAGGTAGGTACAGGAGGAGCAGGTGGAGCGAATGGTCAGGGTCACAAGCCAGGGATCAAAACAGGAGAAGTCAGCAGAGGTCAGGATCAGGCAGGGTCGGCAACAAGTCAGGCAGAAACAGGAACAGGAATGCAGGTTACAAGATACAGGGGCCCATGTAAAAACACACACCAAGGCACAGACTGCAGGTCTGGCCATCCCTTAAATACACCTGCAATCAGCCCCAGGTGATGGCTAATTGCCGAAGTGAACCTCTGGTTGTTGAGAGCACCCGCTGGCCAGCCCTGGTACTGCAGCCCACAAGGCAGGTGAGTCCCACCACTATTGGCAAGTCCATTCCTGACAGTACCCCCCCTCAAGGAGCGGCCTCAGGACGCTCCAAACAGTCCTAGCTGGGCAAAATGTTCCACCACCCGGGTCCGGTGACTGGCGGGATATCAAAGACTGGCACATCGGGCTGGGCACCGGATGGAGGCACTTCGAGCTGGACACCGGACGGAGGCACTTCGAGCTGGACACCGGACAGAGGCACTTCGAGCTGGACACCGGACGGAGGCACTTCGAGCTGGACACCGGACGGTGGCACTTCGGGCTGGACACCGGACAGAGGCACTTCGGGCTGGACACCGGACGGAGGCACGTCGGGCTGGGCACCGGATGGAGGCACATCAGGCTGGACGCCGGATCACCAGGCGGAACAGCGGGCATCGGGCCACCAGGCAGGGCAGCAAGCACCGGGCCACCAGGTGGAGCAGCAGGCAACGGGCCATCAGGCGGAGCAGCAGGAACCGGGCCCCCAGGCAGGGCAGCGGGCACTGGGCCACCAGGCGGTAGGCAGCAGCAGCAGGCACCGGGCCCCCAGGCAGGGCGGCGGGCACCGGGCCACCAGGTGGAGCAGCAGGCACCGGGCAACCAGGCGGGGCGGCAGGCACCGGGTCCCCAGGTGGAGCGGCAGGCACTGGGCCCCCAGGCAGAGCGGCGGGTGGCGGGCCCCCAGGTGGAGCGGCAGGCACCGGGCCACCAGGCAGGGCAGCAGGCACCGGACCACCAGGCGGAGCAGCAGGCACCGGGCCACCAGGCGGAGCAGCAGGCACCAGGCCACCAGGCAGGGCGGCAGGCACCGGGCCATCTGGCTCGACAGCGCGCATCGGGTCACCAGGTACAACAGCGGGCACCGGGTCATCAGACATTGGATCGTCTTGCTCGACCGCGGGCACCAGGTCATCTGGCTTAACAGCGGGCATCGGGTCACCAGGCACGACAGCGGGCATCGGGTCACCAGGCATCAGGTCATCTGGCTCGACAGCGGGCAACCGAGTCGTCTGGCAAGGCAGTGGGCACCGAGTCACCAGGCGTGACAGCTGGCTCTGAGTCAACTGGCACGACAGCGGGGGCATCGGGTCACCAGGTATGACAGCGGGCACTGGGTCATCAGGCATTGGATCGTCTGGCTCGACAGCGGGCATCGAGTCATCAGGCATGACAGCGGGCATCGGGTCACCAGGCATGACAGTGGGCACTGGGTCATCAGGCATTGGATCGTCTGGCAAGACTGCGGGCACCGAGTCATCTGGCAAGACGGCGGGCTTCGAGTCATCTGGCAAGACCGCGGGCCCCGAGTCATCTGGCAAGACCGCTGGCCCCGAGTCACCAGGCACAACAACAGGCTCTGAGTCGTCTGGCCCGGCAGCGGGCTCTGAGTCAACTGGCGGAACAGCGGGCACCGAGTCGTCTGGCAAGACTGTGGGCACCGAGTCGTCTGGCAAGACTGCGGGCACCGAGTCCACTGGCGGAACAGCGGGCATCAAGTCACTTGGCAAGACTGCGGGCACCGAGTCGTCTGGCAAGACTGCGGGCACCGAGTCGTCTGGCAAGACTGCGGGCACCGAGTCAACTGGCAAGACTGCGGGCACAGAGTCGTCTAGCAAGACTTTGGGCACCAAGTCATCTGGCAAGACTGCGGGCATCCGAGTCACCTGGCATGACTGCGGGGCACCGAGTTGTCTGGCAAGACTGCGGGCACAGAGTCGTCTGGCAAGACTGCGGGCGCCGAGTCAACTGGTGGAAACAGCGGGCATCAAGTCACCTGGCAAGACTGCGGGCACCGAGTCGTCTGGCAAGACTGCGGGCACCGAGTCGTCTGGCAAGACTGCGGGCACCGAGTCAACTGGCAAGACTGCGGGCACCGAGTCATCTAGCAAGACTGCGGGCACCGAGTCGTCTGGCAAGACTGCGGGCACCGAGTCGTCTGGGAAAACTGTGGGCACCGAGTCGTCTGGCAAGACTGCGGGCACCGAGTCGTCTGGCAAGACTGCGGGCACTGAGTCATGTAGCAAGACTGCGGGCACCGAGTCGTCTGGCAAGACTGCGGGCATCGAGTCGTCTGGGAAGACTGCGGGCACCGAGTCGTCTGGCAAGACTGCGGGCACCGAGTCAACTGGCAAGACTGCGGGCACCGAGTCATCTAGCAAGACTGCGGGCACCGAGTCATCTGGCAAGACTGCGGGCATCGAGTCGTCTGGGCAAGACTGCGGGCACCGAGTCGTCTGGCAAGACTGCGGGCACCGAGTCATCTGGCAAGACTGCGGGCATCGAGTCGTCTGGTAAGACTGCGCGGGCACCGAGTCGTCTGGCAAGACTGCGGGCACCGAGTCGTCTGGCAAGACTGCGGGCATCGAGTCATCTGGCAAGACTGCGGGCACCGAGTCGCCTGGCAAGACTGCGGGCATCGAGTCATCTGGCATAATAGGATCATCAGGCTGGATCAGTTCATCAGGCTGGGTAGAAACATCATGCTTGGTAGAGACATCAGGCTGAATGGAGACATCCGGCTGAATGGAGACATCATGCTGGGTAGAGGCATCAGGCTGGGTAAAGACATCAGGCTGGGTAGAGACATCAGGCTGAATTGTGGGCGCCAAGGCACCAGGCTGCACCACAGAAGGCAGGTTCTCTCAGATGGGAGGCTGACCGGTTTGGATACTGGCAGGATGGTATTGGTTGGAAAGAACTTTCGCCTTTTCCTGGTTTTAGTTAACGGAGCACTGTAAGTAAGCACAGGTTTGTAAACGGATGGAGCAGCTGGAGACAGAGAAGAGCTGGAGGATGGAACAGAGGAGGGAGCAGTTGCTACAGAGGACTTCTTTACAGGGTTGAAGAAAGGATAGGTGCAGCGAGTGGGAGCAGGGGACTGGTATGTGGTAGTTAGCAGAGTATAACTGGGCCATCACTGGGGGTGCTGTCGGGGATGCAGGAAGAGTGCCTTGAGCAGAGGAATGATGTTTGCAAGCCAACTGAGGCTGGGTGTACCAAATCTGTCCATGTCTGCAGTACTGGTTTAACAAAACTCAGCTTACACCTAGCCTGTCTGATCAAAGACTGCACTGCGTTTATTCAATCCATAAGCACATGTGATGGACATGCTGCATAGTGCTCATGGAAACAATCTGGATCATCCTCCAACAAACATATCAGTGATTCCACTTGATCCACACTAAATGGGGGAAAAAAAGTCATCCCTGCTTTCAG